CAGGGAACTATAAACTCAGGTCTCTTTGATAAAGCCAAATTCCATGAAGGAGCCCCACCCTCATGACCTCAGGTAAACCCAAATACTTCCCAAAGGCCTCACCTCCAATGACCATCAATATGGGCATTTGATGATTTGTTTTCAATATAGAAATGTGGGGACATACTTAGAACATAGCACCCCATAAATTCATGCAGAACCTCAGAACGTGTGATTATCAGGAAATGGAGCATTTTCAGACTTAAAACCAATGTCTAGTATTCTTATGAGACTATGTGAAGTCCCAGGGGCATAGAAAAGAGGGGATATGGCCAGGTGGGGAAGAAGGCAGAAAAAGAGGTGCCACTGCAAGCCCCTGATGCTGCAACTGACAGAATAAATGGCTGGATCAGACTCTCCACCAGAGCCCAGAGCTGGGAGCGACCTACCAACACCTTCAGACGTCAAGCCTCCAAAACTCCTGAAGAACAGTCTATTGTTTTAGCCCGCCCAGTTTGTGGGGGGTTCTTACAGCAACTCTAGAAATCTGATCTCAGCCTTCTAGACTCACAGAAGGCTGTGAGGGCCAAGAAACAAACGTTTTGAGCCTGGCTGTGGAAGAAACACTCACCATGTGTCAGATGTCTATTCAGCATACACGACTCCTCAGAGGACATTATCCCAGCCCTGCAAGGGGCTGCCACGTTGTGGTGCTGTAATTGAGTCCTCACAAGACCATCCCACAGCTCTCAAGCCAGCTGCCTCAGGATACCGGCTGTTTCTTTGGGCTTTCACAACAACTTATTAGGTAGGTGGCAGCACGCAATGCACCTTATGTTCTAGGAGATGGAAAGTGAAATCAAGCTGTTGGCAGAGCCATGTTCCTTCTGGAATCTCCAGGGATGAATCCTTGCCCCTTCTGGCTTCTGATGCTGTTGGCAATACTTGGCACTGCTTGGCTATGACAGCCTAGCTCCAATCTAAGACCCTGTCTTCTCAGGGTCATCTTCTAAGTGTGTGCATTCAGATTTCTCTGTTCTTAGAAGGCCATCCAGTATACCTTCATCTTCTCTCTGTTAATACCCTACCAAATCAGGTCACATTCACAGGTACTGGGCGAACATTTATTTTGATGGAGACTTATTTGGTCCAGTACAGTGGGAAATATGTCTTCAGTTAGCTTTCCATTGCCGTGATAAAACACTAACCAAAACCTACTTGGGGAGGAAAGGGTTTATTTGGCTTGCATGCCCATCATAATCCATCATTGTTGGAAGCCAAGGCAGGAACTCAAGCAGAGCAGGAAACCAGTGGCAGAAGCTGAAACATCGAGGCCAGGGAGGAATGACGCTCACTGGTTTACTCCTCTGGCCTGGCTCAAGCTGCTTTTATACAACCCAGGACCACCTGCCCAGGGGAGGCACCACATCAACCAGCAATCAAGAAAATGCCTCACAGACATGCCCCACAGGCTAATCCAAAAGGCAATTCCTCAACTGGGTTCTCTCTTCCCAAGTGTGTCAAGTTGACAACTCGAGTTATCCAGCACTCATAAGCCAGCCAGTCCCATGAGTATAGATCCACTGTCACCTGCATGTGCTGTGAAGCAAACCCCTTGGTCAGAAGCAGTTGCATGGAATACCATGAAGGTGGAGAAGCAGTGACCTGAAACACTGCAGAAGGAACACCACACCTACATGCTTGGGACTTGGTAACCATCTGTGATTGGGCATTCAGGAGTGGCCAGGGGCAGGTTAATCCTAAGCAGAAGTTTATGTTGCTGAATCTAAGCAAAACCTTCATCCCTGCCATCATGCCACTTTGTTCATAAGCCCACTGGGCAGAGATAGGAGTAACAAGGGCGAGAGGCTGGCAGGTCCTCCTATGCACTAAAACCCCCTTCAGTTGAGCTCACCCATTGCTCCCATTCACATGGGATACAAACATCATATTCTTTGCCTGTTCAGAGAGGTACCTATCTACATACATACTTCTTTCCCAAGCCTGTGTCACCAGCTTCTCAATCATGTTCCTTCCAAGTCCCTGTCCAAACGGCTAAACCACTGGCCACAGCCCATAATCAGTACATACAATATAATCAGTATATGCCACAGTATAATTGCTATATACCATGTAATCAGAATACACTTGCACCTCTGGCTATCTTTCCAAGCATATAAATCACAACCCAAAGTTCTGCCCACAGGAAAGAGTCTCATCCTTCACTGTCCTTTGGGAATGTCCTAGAAAGGGATTATAATGCTGCAGCTGTCCCCTTCCACATAGTACCTACTTATCATACAGAACCATTTATTAACTAGGCCTGCCTTTTCTTCCTCTGACAATTATTGGTAGGGAACTTGTGTGAAGCTCTAGGTGCAGACTGGGAAAGAGAATGGGGCATATTCAGGGGCAGGGCCTGATCACATGCTTAACATTTCCATCTGATAGAATTTGATTAATGCTGTAATCTTGGGGTCCCATTTTCTACAGTATACTAAAGCAGCTCCAGCACTTCTGTTCCATAGGCCCACCTTTGGACCCATGTTCTCATCAACAAACCAACCCATTAGAACCCTTCCTAGCCCCTTGAATCAAAGCACTGGATCCCAAATTTCTGCTTAGTAAGGCTCATACCAATAAACCCAGGTTGACCCAACTTTGTATTCTTGCAGAACAGAATCCCACAACTTTCATTTCCAGAAGATACCATGCAATGACTTCTAAGATGAGGCTTTGGGCTTGGTTTTTAGCAATCTCAGTAGTCAGCATAAAGACTATTTTCAAGGCAGACATGGCTTTCAGGTCACTCATGTGGAACCTGGACTGGGGAATGGAAAGCCCCAAGCTCATCTTTTCCTTCTCAGTTGAAAGGCCTGAAGAGCAAAACTGAGGTTTCCTGGGTGATGAAATAATTAGGCCTGGGGACTGCAGCATCAGCTCCTGGCTGCCTACCCTGTCATTTCAGACTTGTCCGGCCAGTCTCCATACCATGTAAGCCAATGCTTTGACATCAACACAAAGTATAATGTGGTCCTTATTCAGTTGCAGTTGCCCCCAGCCGACCTTGGTCCAAAACTATTAAATAGAAAATTCTGGAAATAGCTTTTCAGTTCTGCACCAGTCTGAGTAGTATGATGAAATCTCACACTGTCTTATGAGTCATCCTTTTGTCCAGTGTATTCACCCTGGGTATACTACCTGCCTGCTAGTCACTGAGTAGCCATCTTATTATCAGCCTGGGTAGGTATTTCCAGGGCTCTGCAGCCCATCCTTCAGGGATAAGCAGGACTACTGTGTATCTTTTTCCTGATACAACCAAGATTTTTGTGCCAAGAGTAGTTCTAGAGGAATAAAAGCCTTAAGGATGACTGCCCTTAATCAGCCGAGGGTTTCTGGTTCTGAGTCTAAGAGTAAAGAGGGTACTGGTGTCCATAGCATGCTGAAATAGAACACCTAATTGAATTCTTATGAAAGGTAAAATTCTAGGTTACCGTTATTTCATGCACTGGAACATTTCAGTCAAACTAAGGCATTTGTAATTGGCTGGCACTATTAATTTTGTGCAGTGCAGAGTTTAACTCACAACCACAGGGTCTGGCCCAGCTCTGACAAAAGCTGGATACAGGCACTGCCAGTTGCTTAGGGCCCCTTGCAACATGGCCACAGCTTCACCTGAGGAGCAATAGGCTTTTCCACCCAAGACACTATGAATTATTATTTTTTATTTTATGTGTATGCAAGTATTGCCTGCATGTAGATAAGTGTACCCGTGTTGTGCAATGCCCGAGGTGGTCAGGAGAGGCTCTTGGATCCCCTGGGACTGGAGTTACGGACAGTTGTTAGCTGCCATGTGGGTGCTGGGATTTGAACCCAGATCTTCTGCAAGAACCACCAGTATTCTTAACCACTGAGCCATCTCTCCAGCCCCGTAATGACTGTTTTCTTAAACCAAGACATTCCCTCACAGGCCCCAGATCCAGCTGTTTGACAAGACAGGCAATTTCCCACAGTCATCTTTTCCAACTAACCCTTCTCTCCCTCTTCACACTCTTTCCTACATTTCATACCCACCTTCTTGCCCATAAGCTCTTTAAAACTCCAGTCTCAAGTCAGTCCTTCCCTCAAATATCATTTAGTGTCATCATCACTACCTCTGACCACTCCTCTGTTCCCACAGTGCACTGTCATTTCAAACTTTTTGCTGTCAAACTCTTTACATAATTATCTTAGCTTCTGAAAGCATATTTCTGTATCTACCTAGCATCTTGGGATGAATGGTTCATGGGATAGCAGATACACAGCTCTTCCTAGGACTCATCCAAATGATCACACTCTTGATACCAAAGACCTATGTTATTAAGAGGACGGAGCATCCTTTACCATTCTACCTGTAACACTGCTCATGTGGAAAAGCTGAGAACTTTGCTTTCATGATTAACGAATATTTAACAAATTAAAATCACACCAAGGGAGCTCATTTTATACACACACTGCTTAAATGCATGAAACTACAGTGGAACTGTCACAGTAAAAGGCACATAATGCCATTTGTCTTGAATTTGGGAGATTTAACCTTGGTGGGTTCTTACATAAGCCAATGACATTTCTGTAGGAAATGGGGACACACACTGGCACAGCCCTAGTGAAGGAGAACTTCCACAGCCTCCCCTTTTCATCCTCCACTGGTACAAACAGCCTTTTAGGAAAAGCAGCACGGAGGGACTGGAGAGATGGCTCAGTGGTTAAGAGTACATATTACTGCTCTTGCAGAGGACCTGAGTTTGGTTCCCAACATCCACATCAGGCATCTCACAACTACTAGTAATTCCAGTTCTAAGGAATCCAACACCCTCTTCTGGCCTCCAGACACCTGCACTTGTATGCACACACAAAATTAAAAACTAAAAATAATTTTAAAAAAAACAAAAGGAAAAAGAAGTATTCAGGTTACTTAATCAGCAGCTGAACTGCTGACCCTCTGGTGACAAAGGACACAGTAAACTGCCAGAACAATGGGAGACTCTGCCAATCATTCATAGCAAAACTTTATTGAACAGAAAGCTCAGCAAAGGTTTCACCTTTGCCAAGTTGCCCTCAGTTTAAAGGAAAGCGCTGCATTTTAAAAAGCAATTATACACAAGTCTCTCCTAGAAAAGTCCTGCTAACATGTCTAGCAATTCACTCATTATATAAAGTAGTACACTTAGTGTAATTTGAACATTCCAACAGGAATCAAATCGTACCAGCAGAACCACTTCTGCATCTATGACTTCTATGTACAGCACACATGCACACACACATCTGGGGAGGCTCTTCAGGCATTACATGCGACACCCAGGCCTTCTACTTACAGAGCCTATGAAACTACATACAGTATATATTAAAGCTCTTCAGAACAAAGATATGAGAAGCCCTGTTCAGTTTGGGTTCGTTAATTTGTATCATGGCTTCAGGTCTTAGCTGGTGCTTTTGCTTGCCACAAAAGCATACCATCATCCTGTGGGTTTTCAGTGACTCTGTTGAGTCATATCCAGGTGAGGAGATTAAGCTGGAGCCAGATGATCCAGTCCAAGCTGCGAAAGCTTCCAGCAACAAAGCATAAGTGCCATCAGTTTGCTATGGCCGGAGGGCCTTCTGGAAGAAGAGAGGCAAAGAAAGTCTTGAAGACTAGCCATGCTGTGCTCATAAATGAGGGACTGGTCTGCTCAGGGTCCAACACTTCCCGATCAGGGGGGAGATGGTTAGGGTCTTCAGTTTCAGGATCAGTGCCTTCCTACAGGCAAAAACACAAGGAGAAAACGATTAGGGCCGAGATGAACACCCAGTGTCCTGAGGACAGGACAGGGTAAAGCCCTGGGCCCCAGCTCCATAGCCTGGCAGGCAGACCAGTCCTTGGGGAATGAGTCCTTGGTTGCAAGAGGCTCCTTGGGCTTCCACAGTACATCTGTTGCTGGTGACCTTCCACAGTTTTGAATATTCCTGTCGGCCAGTGTCAGAACAAATGAAGTACCCTGATCTTCAACTGTTACCAAATGGTAATTAACTTTACCATACATTAAACAGTCTTCAAGTCTGGGTAGTGCTCCAAGTTAAGAAACAATGGAAACCCAGTGTTCTGAAAACATACTACAGATGTACTATGCATACTGTAACAATCTGTTTGGAGGCGAGCTTATGTGCCTCGTCAATTAGAATAACCATCTGTCAGCAGTTCCCATAGTACAGCACCACTGTTACACGCTTCTTAATATCAAAATGTCGGGTCAAAAAAAAAAAAAAAATCAATCAACTTATGCAAAAATGCCAATTGCCATATGACTGTATAGATATTTAAAGTCTTAAAAACAGCTGCTGCTCCAACAATAAAATTAAAAAAAAAAATCACAGAATACTTTGCTTAAAAAAAAAAAAAAGACAAGCCACAAGGCTGAAAATCTGAAGGTAGGGACTGAGGAGCATGAAGGAAAGTGAGCCTCACCAGCCCAGCAGAGACTCCATACCTGCAGGTTATTGTTGGGGTCCTGATTTGCAGCTTCCTGAGGAGGACCATCATCCGGGAAGTTCTGAATCGGCCTCTGCCTGAATGGAAACCACCCAACGTGATGCCTTTGAAAAAGCACAAGCAGGTGCATCTTAGCTAAGTCACTGTGCGATCCACACAAGAATCTAAGGCTCATCACCAGAAGCTCATGTGAGACCATCTGCACAGCCAGCCTGTCAGCCTCCTAGATTTTTTTCCTGGGCCACAGGTCCTTGAGGGCAGAGATTCTTTTATTCATCAGCAATAAAATAGCATCTGACACATAGTAAGTATGTGCTTAATAAATGCTTGTTTATATGAACTAAACCTTATACTTAACCTCAACAGAGCAGGCAGGCATGGTGGCACAGGCCTGTAATCCCAGCTACTTGGGAGGCTAAGGAAGGAGAATTCTAAAGTTCAAAGCCTGAGTGGGCTACAGAGCAGGCCAGGGATATAGGTTAGAAAAAGAATGCTTGCTTATCTAGCATGTATGAGGCTAAGCCCAATTCCCAGCACCACAGAAACAAAAATAAAACCACAATCTCGACAGAGGTGGAAAATATACATAAAGCTGTAATTACATACACACATTATATAATAATAGTAATAAGATTCTAGTGGCCATAGAAACTGACTAAAGGCTTTAACTGGAAAATCTAATGAAAGTCTCAAAACAAACACAATAAAATATTAAGAATAATTATGGAGAGCCAGGCGTGGTGGAGAGCCAGCACTCGGGAGGCAAAGGCAGGTGGATCTCTGTGAGTTCAAAGTGAGTTCCAGGCCAGCTGGGGCTACAGGGAGACCCTGTCTCAAAAAAGCAAAGGACCGGAAAAAAAAAAAAAAGAATAATTATGGAGATATGAGTGCTTCTTACATTAAATATTTGTTTTTACGAATTAAATAAAATCCATTTTTATTTTAAGGGAAAAGTTTCTCCTTTCCATTCCAACCAGAAACCTAGCCCTCTAAGCTAGGAGCATGCCTAAAAGTACCCTCTGTTTCCACCTACTCAAAGCCAGCAGGACCACCCCTCTAGTGACAACCCAAAATGTCCCTCAGACACTGCCAAATGTCCCCTAGGAGAAGGTACGAAATTATCTGCAGTTGACAACAGCTGCTCGAGAGCACAGATGAGGCCAAATATCAAGTGTGCAAAGGGTCACTGCCTGACCTTTGTCCTGCAAGGCAGCTGAAGCTTGGTAAAAGCAAAGACCCTATCTCAAAAAAAGGAACTATGTTCTGCTGAGGCAGATACAACTGCCCCTGCCTCCATGAACCTGACAGGAAACTTAGCTGGAAAATGAGATGTTCTTGCACTAGCACATACTTATTCTGGGCAACACACAAGCAAGCTGTGGGCTCCTTGCATTCAAAGGGCCAGAATGACAATTTAAATACACCTCTTTCAATGATGACACACTCAAACAAAATATCTGTACTCAGGTCACAGTGCAATATAATTTTCAGTAAGGACAAGAGAGAGAGGGGCTGTCTGCTTACAGGTACATAACAACAGTGGCACCCATGACCATGAGGAATCGGCTCAGGGAAGAGTAGAAGTAGAGGATGCTGAGGAAAACAGAAAACGTAGCTGCTGAATAGGTCCAGTCCAACCAGTCTCGATTTATCTCATCATCTTCTTCCACAAGAGGGCCACCTTGTGCATTCATCCGCAAGTTCTGATTGGCTCCAGGATTAACAACCACTTGAGCAGCTGCATTCTGATTGGCTGGTTGGTTTTCCCCTGGAAACTGGTTGTGGATAGGGGCTGGAGCAGGTGCAGAGACCACAGGTATCTCTTGTGCACTTGGTGTTGGGACAAAAGTTCCTGATGCAGCAGTAGCAGCTAAACTAGAATAAAAACAAGAGAGGCACCATGAGATAGGGCTCTCAAGTGTATTTACACAGGGGTCTTTTACTGTTAACAATTAGGACTAGGTATACACACACTCAATTTGTCTGAATTTTAGTGAAGAACTTTTTGCCAAGAGTCTCATCTATAAATATGTCTTTTCTTTAAAAAGTCATGTGGCAAAGCACATCCAGAATTAAATATGAAGACCATCATAAAATTATGGTGCATAAACAAATTTAAAATTTCACTAAGCTTTAGATACTATAAACTCAAAGAGAGGTCAACATGTTCTAAATAAAGGCATTAAAGTGCAAGCACCTCTGCATCAATACACAAATCAGGAAGCTGTTGTCATCCCCATTCCACTCCACCACAGAAGCAGAACGAGCCGGGCTCTGAGAGACTGGAAAGCACTCCCCTCTCTCCATTCAGAACTCCAGAGCACAAATGGGATTTCCCTCCATTCCCTCAACCATGGCCAGCATGGTGGGAAGGACTCACTATTGCATGTAGTACTGTCTTGCATAGATCTGCTGGAACCAGGAGAGCTGCAGCCACCCGTAGGTTGTGTAGCCAGAGAAGCCAGGCCCTAGGCCTTGGAATGCCTGCTGGACAGCTTCAGGCCTACATAAAGATTCAAGTAAAACAAGCATATTTTGAGTTGGTTGGGGACAAAGAGCAAAACACTAAATTACCATCAGCAATTACAGTCTAGGAGACAGGTCAAACCTCACAGAAATGTACCCCTATAAAGGGAGCACAGAGAGTACTGAACAACAACCAGCCTGCTAAGTTTCAGACCCCATGGAAACAGAGCCCTGTCTTGCAGTAGGCTCTCATCATGTCATCAGGGAGAGTGCTGTGTGCTTTCTACACAGACACGCTAACAGGCCGAAGCTTTTTCAGATTGATCAGATGCCCAGCTGCTCTCAGAGTCTCACTCAAGACTAAATCCATTGATGTTTTTAGGGTGACACAAGCTACATTCCTAAGTCTTTCCTCAAAGGTATCTCCTTCTCCTCCCTGACCTCAGATTAGAATCTACACTGCAGCAGTTCTGAATGCAAAGTGATATCCCACCTGTGTGCTCACTGAGTATCTGGTATCCCACAAAGGTTGATGGATCCCTACCAACCTTACAGGGAGGATTCCACCCCTATTTTACAAAGGAAGCCTGAGTATGGCTTAGAAAAAAATAAGAGACTTGTACAAGGTCATGAGCTAAAGGATCAGGACTTTGAAACATGGTTTATGTGATGCAAGGCTCACTTCTTCAGGCTTGCAACAGCCTTCACTTTCCTCCAGCTGGCATACAGGGGGCTGGGGGCTTTGTACTTCTTATACAGCTGAAGACAGGAGAGAAAAGGAAATATGGGGCACATGAGAGGGGAAAGAAGGCCCACACTCTAGAACCTGGGTACACTGCTTTTTGGTTGGGAGTCAGAAATTTCAACACAACTGATAAGAATTGCCTAGAGATAAATTTCTATTCCTAAAAAGACATCTCAAACAAGGATGTTAAGAACAACCTAGGTTGACTTAGGGCCAGAATGTTTGTAGCCGTTGAGTTTAACTTGTTAGCACTCCTCTCTTATTCCTAAATCCGATAATGTACCTCAAAAACACTTGCAATTTCCTTTACAAAAGGAAATTCTCTAAGAGAAATAAGTAAAACAACATGTATATTTTCATTTACTTTTTTTGGGGGGGGGGGGTCTTTTTGAGACAGGGTCCCCTTGCAGCCCCAGCTGGCCTGGAACTCACTATGTAGACCATGCAGGCCCTGAACTCATAGAGATCCGCCTGCCTCTGCCTCCCAAGTGCTGGGACTAGAGGCGTGTGCCACCATGCCCGGCTCATTTACTTTTTAAACTTTACTTAATCTTTTAATCTTCTTGTAAATTATAGCCTCTGAGCAATATAACTTAGAAAGTCACAGGATTGGGGCTGGAGATGACTCAGTGGGTAAAGTGTCTGCTATGCAAGCATAGGGTTCAGATGCCCAGTGCTTTCATACTTGTTAGATGTCATGACGGTGGCACTGCTGTGCAAGACAACTCAAAGTTTCTGCAGTCATACGCTGAAGAACGGAGGGATGAAATGACAAGATGTCTGGGAATTTCTTTTCAATACTTCAAAAAGAAAGAACAGCTGAAACAAGTGAGGCAAAGCTTTCGGTTGGCCTGGATGATGACATGGGATCCATTATGCAGCTGTTTCTGCTTTTGCAAATACTTGAGTATTTCCGTCAGGGAAAAAAATTACCTACCCCTTCTTCAAAGGTGCAGCTTTAGGAAAGATTAAATATAAAACCTGCTTGGAGCACCAGGTGGGTTTGGTGCATACCTGTAATCCTAACACTCAAGAGGCTAAAGCAGGAAGAGCTTGAGTTTCAGTCAGCCTAGTGGGGTCCTAGTGGGACCCCATCTCAAAAACAACTATTAGGGAAAGGAAAAAAGAGGAGTTTGAGAATTAATCTCACCTGTACATGGCATTTTCTCCCCCAAATACTTTTAGAATGAGGTGTTCCAAGAGTTATAAAATCCAAACATTAGAGCATGCAATTACCTCTGGCTTTCGCTCTGGAGAACAGTCCTAAAGAAATGGTATCTCTAGTACCATACTTAGCAAAACATCTATTGTATCCTTTGTTAGGATAAACAAAGCAGATCACTGTACAGTGCTTAGACAGCTGTTTCTTCTGCAATCATGGGGCAGGCCCACTGGAAGCATACCATGTAGGGGGCTATATTTTCAATTCATGTATCTACTCTTTTACATATATCCCCAAAGGGTATCTAGTAAGAAAAAGTAAATAGAGCGAGGCATGGTAGTGAATGCCTTTAATCCTTGCACTTGGGAGGCAGAGACAGGCAGATCTCTGAGAGACTGAGGTCAGCCTGGTCTATATAGTATGTTCTAGGTCAGGTGGGGCAGACAGGGAAACCCTATCTCAAAACACCAAAAAAAAAAAAAAAAAAAAAAGAGAGAAACTAAATATATGAGGTCTTGAGATAGTGAGGCCATCTTTATGTCTTTTAAAAAATTTTTTATTTTGTATATATGTGTTTTGCCTGCATATATGTAAGTATACCATGTGTAATGTCTGTAGAGGGTGTTGGGAGCCCCTTGAACTGAAGTTATGGATGGTTGTCAGCCCCATATGGGTACTGGGAACAGAACACGGGTCCTCTGCAAGAGCAGCCAGTGATCATTAACTGCTGAACCATCTCTCCAGCCCCTATAGCATGAAGTTCTTTGACAACTTGTGTAAACACACCTCATCCTTAAATTGCCACAAATAAAACACATTAGTGTTCTTTAACACTCACCTTGTGATGTTCTCCCATCCGGAGGGAGAAAAGTTCCGAAGAGCTTCCCTTTGCCTTAAACCATCACTTGAGGAATCTCCAGGATACTGTCCCTGATTAGGGCCACTGGGTTGCTCTATGGATTCAGCACCCTATGTTAAGAATATGAACATCAGAACAAAGGACCTGATGCAACTGCAAACTAATGGAATTATTTTGCTTCAAGTGGCATATGCCCCCAGCCCGACCCTGGAAGTTGACAAAATTAAGTATAGTTAGCACTAAACAAAACAGATTTGGAAATTTGCTCAACTCAATTTTGAACATATAGATACTAAGGCCAGGGAATGCAACTCAGTGGAAGAGTTCTTGTCTAATAGGCATGAGGCCCAGGTTCCCAGGTTCAAACCCAACCGAAAACCTCATTCTAAATATATATACCAATCTCTCGATATATACACATATACAGAGAGGAAGAGAAAGAGATAATCTGGAAAAAATATTAATCCACATTTTTTGTTTCCCTTAAGAGTTTTGCTAAGATCTTGGAACACACCCATCATTAGAGGGAAAAGTTTCTGATAACGCTAACATGTATGGCGCTAACTTACTAGGTTTAGAAATTAAATTTGACCAACAAGATTTACAAATACAACCAGGCAGCAATATAAAGGAAAGGGAATTTCCTATGTGATATTCAGGTGTTGTAGAATTATAGGTGTGATGCAAATTTAGAGCATGTCACAACATTAGAGTATTTATAATGCCGTTTAAACAATAAAATGGAAAAATGTTTTTGACTGTTAAGAAAAAGTCTTCAGGCTTCACCTAATAAAGACTAAAAGAGCCTTTTGCTACCTAAATAATCACAATGGACATTTTATCTATTTCTTTACTCCTTATGAAAATTAATGTTCCTTAGAGAAGCACGCTCTGTGCACATTTCAGTAAGCACTGTGCTGCTGCGTCTTCTGGGCACACAGTAAACCTTGGGTCAGGTGTGACGACACTTTCCACATAGCACACACGCCACAGTCTGCTACCACTACACCAAACCCTCACTATACCGTGAACACAGTCCCTATATCCTGACAGGATTTGGAGAAAACACTGTAAAATCTTTAATTTTCCTCAACTTCCTTTCTTTCTCCCTAGAGAATCTGAGGGACACAAATTGTTATCAGGAAGAAGCAGGCATACCTTTGGGCTGTTTTCTGGCATTTTTGAGGGGCTCTTCACATTGCACACTAGGTGCAAAACATGTCGTTTTTCCTGCTGGAAGTAACAAAGAGGTACCTTAGGACCTGAATCCAACCTGTAAATGCCTCACAACACCCCAAAACTAATGCTTCAATGACACAAAGTACCTTTGGTAGCAAGTCTCGGAGACACTGGTGATCCAACAGCAGCTTCCCGGAATAAATTACCCTCTGATCCTCTGGGCGCTAATTGTGAACAGAAAGAAAAACAGGTCAGCATTTATCCCCATAACTGCTTCCCCCAGCATCACAGGAGGACAATTTTTTTTTTAAGTTCTACACACTTACTAATTATGTGGTTATTAAATAAATAATTTAGAAAAAAAAGTTCTCCCACACAAAACTTATTTAGAAAGTACTTGACTTCATGCATATGGGAAAAGCAAATGATCTCCAGCCCTAAAAACGGCTGAAACACCTGACTTCTTACTGAGGATAATTGCTTTCTGCCACTAAAACCTTATGTAGTGCTTGGGCAACAATGAGTCCACGAGGAAACTGCTCCTGAGGTCAGTCTTCACCTAAACCACCTCAGGTCGGCCTTGCTGGAGTCAAGATTCCATGGGAACTCCACACACTTTTATACAATGCTCACTTTTATTTTTAATTAGTTAATTAAAAAAAAATTTTTTTTGGTCTTTTGGCCCCAGTGGCCTGGAACTCACTATGTAAACCAGGCTGGCCACGCCCAACTACAGTGCTCACTTTTAACATCTATTTTAATTTCTCTCAAATCATAAATCATACTTTTAAAAACCTATACTTAAAAGCAATATCCTCAAATACTGTATACCAAAGGCAATACCCTGAGATCACCCACCTATCTACCTGCTCTTGCCAGAATAATCAATTATGTAAAACTTGACATTAAGCTGTTCCTTCCAAATAGTCTGTGAGATAACAAAAGAAACCAGACTTGGCTCTTATCTAGAATCTCAGCACTCAGGCGGCTCTGGAAGAAGTTTGAGGCCATCAGGGCTATGTACAAGTTGCAGGCCAAACTCCGTTTGAGTGAGACCCTGTCTCAAAATACTCCCCGCCTCCAAAAAAACAACCCAGCACAACTGCCTCTACCTAGGATTGGTGGCATATACCTATAAACTCAGCACTTGAGAGGCAGAAGGACAGCCTCCTCAAGCTATTTAAAGAGCTCAAGCTAGCCTGGGCTACAAAACTTGGTCTCAAAACCAAAAAACCTGCATCTAATTATCAACATCTATAAGGACCTTTTGACACAGTGTACCTAAAACAAAAATACACAGGATGCTGTGTTCACCACTGTCCTCAATGACTGGCTTTATAGGTAAATGCTATACACATCAATTTGCCAAATAATCTGAAAATTAAATACTAAGCAAGTATCATAAAGATGGGCTGCTCTCCCTACACCATGTACTGCAGAAAACAAATGAGAGCCTGCTTCCCCCTAATTTTGGGGAGAGGCTCTGTTACTATGCAGCCCAGATTGGCCTGGAATTCCTAATCATGCTCCTTGGCTTTCCCAAGGCTGGATTACAAGGGTGCACCACTGCACCTTTTCCTCCTAAACAGATTTGTATACTCGGGTGACCTCAGGTCTTCACAACAATCTTGCCTGAAGAAAACATGTCTCAAAACACAGCCTTGTACAAATGATGCAACCAGAGACCTACACCTGCATCACTTGTGTGCCTAACAACCATCTCCCAAGGCCACCTGGTTTCTTGGAAGCAGTTATGGTAAAACTGCAAAATGTCCGATGGGTTCTAAAGGTCAATGGATTGGAAGCTTACAGCACAGGTAAGGAAATCCATACAACGCAGAGGGAAATGTCCCGTCTACATTCTCCACAATACGGAACAAAACCAAACCGACACCCACGCGCCACTGTCGGCTGGAGCTCCTAGTCTCTATTTGTGACCACCCCATGCCCTCTTCCCGTTTGATACAGAAGAGCACTTGTGGACACTTACATAATATCAGAGTACAAAGTAAATACAGGAAGTTCCAGAGCACAGCCTGGAACATCACGTGGTGGGAGCGGGGGTGGGCGGGACTAAAGGGCGCTGTTGACAGATGTGTCCACCAAAGCAAAGCAATAAAGTCTAACTGGCCCACCGAGGTCCTAAAAGCAGGCTCGAAGCGACTCCCCCCACCTGTTTCTCTCCTCCGTCACCCTTGGCTGGAAAGTTCACCGGCTCCTCCCAAGACTAAGTGAGACCTTAGGAGAGCGGAGCGACAGGGAAGGGCGGCCAACCGAAGGTGGCAGGAGGGGATGAGCCACGTCTCGCTTCTGGGCGTGGGACCTTCCGAACTGGTGCCTGAGTGCTCACTCCGACTCTCCAGCCACTGGCCCGGGCTGGCACCCGCGCTCTTCTGTCCCCTCTGCACCCAGAAATCTCGTTTGCCAACATTTCTTTTTCTTATTTCTACCCACTGGATGCAAGCCGAATTGGGAACACCTAGTCGCCTGGTTGTGGGGGTGGGGAGGACGGAGGCTTGGACCGGGAAGTGGAAGTGACTCTTCCAAGGTCAAACTACTGTGTCTAGGGTCGCCAACCGGGAGGACGGGGGAGGGGACGGCCTGAAGACAACCTTAGGGGCTTGGGGACACGCGGAGGCCAAGCGACCAGGAGTCGGCAGAGGCAAGGCGGGAGGGGTGGCGGCCGGGACCGACACGACCGCAGGCGCAGGACAAGCGGAGGGGCGCGGGGGACGTAGGCAGGAAGGGGGACGTAGGCAGGAAGGGGGACGCGGCCCCGCGGAGGGTGGCGGGCGGCGCAGCCGGGCGTGGCTCCCCGGGACCCCTCTCACCGGCCGCTCGGGGTAGACGCGGCTCAGGTGGGCCTTGAGGCGGCCCACGCTCCAGCCGCGGTCTCCGCTCAGCTCCAAGTCGCGGTGGCGCTGGTTGGGGCTCTTCACCAGCAGCGTGACCGGCTCAGACTCGGGCTCCATGTCGGCTGCGCTGGCGGCCCGGCTGCGCTCCGAGAGGCCAAGCGGACCGCGTCGCAGCCGTCTCAGGTTCCACAACAGTCGCCGTCTCCCTAACGCGCGCCCGGGCCTCGGGAACCCTTTATAGGCGGCCAGCGGCCGGGCTCTGCAGGCAGCCCTCACTGTGGCCACCGTCCATTGGCTGAGGCAGAGGTCACTGCCCAACGTGGCCCAATCAGAGCCCGGGCCCGGGCGGCGGAGGGGCGGGCTGAGTGCGAGGGCGCGGGATGATGCAACCCGCCGCGGTTGCGTCATCCTGAGCCGGGCTTCGGAGGCGGTGTCGCGGTGTGCTGCGGGACTGGGGTCCGGCCCTGAGGGGACAGGGGCCCTGGCCCGGGTGCGTGCGGCGCCGGAGCGGAGCGGCGGGACTGACTCCCAGCCTGGCAGTCTCAGCAAAGTGTTCCCTCACAAAGGGGACCCCGCCCTTTCTGACCCCAGGCGGCGGGCCCACGTCCCCTTTCACTTCCCTCGGGTGGCCCTGCAGTCTGGTGGCCTAGGGACGCCTCCCGTCCTGGGCTAGCCTCAGAATCCTTGAGTTGACTTGGCGCCCCGGGTCCGCCTTAGGGGCTGGGAGGAAGCAGGCTTGTGGCACTCTGGGCTGGGAGGATGGAGGATCCAGGCACCAGCTGCCAATTTGCCCGCCTTAAACGTACATTGCACCAAGCATAAGATATCCTCTCTAATATTGGCAAGCTAGCCACAATCCAGTTTACCCTGGGAGACGAGAGACGGGAATCGTTTATAGGCTGGCAACACCCGCTGCCTTTAAATTGGGGGCTGTTGACACTCCATTGTACCCTATCAGCTTGAAAAACAAAAGTGGCATTGCCCTGACCCCATCGTCGTCTCAATCCTGTGGAAACACCTGAATTTCCAGCCATGTGAGGAGCTTGTGGGACTGGTGATTTAAGCAACAGAAATGTATTTCACAGCTGCAGAGACTGGAAGTCTGAAATCAGAGTGTACTGCACGGTTGCATCTTCTAGAGGAGAGTCTGTTGGTGCTACCCTCCTGACTTATGGAGGATTGCCAGCTGTCCTTAGCATTTCTTGGCTTGCAGTATTACTCCAGTCTTGGCCTTCCTATTCACATGGCCTTCTCCATGTGTGCATGCATATGCATGTGCAATGTATCTGTATCATCTCTCTTGTGCATATCTGTCTCTGTGTCCCAAATTTATCTTTTTATAAGGATACAAGTCATATTGGAGTAGGGCCCAATGATCTCATCTTAACATCTTCCACAAAGATTGTGTGTCCTAGGTCCTGTGGCTAGAACTTCAGCATCTCTCTGGAGGATGCACTGCATCCCCCAACAGCCAGGCATTTGCAGGTGCTCTACCTGCAACATGTACAAAACATCAGGTGCATTCATTCTCAGCTTTTGTGTTAAGAAAGTTTTTGAAGTCTAATGTGATGGTACACACCTTTAATCCCAGCACTCTGGAGGCAGAGACAGGTAGATCTCTATGAGTTCAAGGCCAGCCTGGTCTACATAATGAGTACCAGGCCAGCAGAAGCTACATAGTGAGACCCTGTTTAAAAAAGTGTGGCAGTCATTGAGAGCTGCCTCATGAGTTGTCTACATGCTTTTTTCTGTGATCATTTCTGATCACAAGGGGCTCTGTCTCCAAGGGTATGGGACCTGTGTGGTTGAATGGGCTTCACCCTTGGTTTAATACCCTGTTATTTCTCTCTTGAAATTCTCTTATTTTGTGTTTTTATTATCTATCTATCTATCATCTATCTATCATCTATCTATCAATCATCTATCTATCTATCTGTCTATCTATCTATCTATCTATCTATCTATCTATCTATCTATCTAATTTCATACCGGGTCTCACTATGTAGCACTGGCTGGCCTGGAACTTGCTATGTAGACTAGGCCTGCCTCTGCCTCTCTTGAGTACTGGAACTACGGGCATGCACTACCATGCCCAGCTAAAATTCTGTATAAAAAGAAATTTACTTTGTGTGTGTGCACATGTTGCAGATGCACTCATCTATGTATAGGAATAGAGAGACCAGAAGAGAGTCACAAGTCTTCCACTTCCTCTGAGGCAGTGTCTCTCCTGGAACTGGACTGGAAGCCAGCAAGCCCCCAAAATCCTCCTGTCTCTATGTGCAACAGAGCTGGGATTATATAGGTATTTTCCCGACATGCTCAGCTTGTTACATGGTTTCTGGGATCTGAACTCCAGTCCCGTGAGCAAATGCTTTTAGTCTCTAAGCCTCACCCTCTTAAAGTTCTCTGTAAGCCCTTCAATTTCATTTTGCACTGGGCCCCACAAATTATGGAGCATTTACTACCTCTTGATGGGAGAAAATAAGTGATTATGATCTGGTCGGCTTGCTAGCTAGAAACTGCCAATGGGCAGAAGAGCAGATAAGAGAGGCAGAGGCCTTGGGGAGCGGGCCAGGTAGGAGATAAGGGCCTCCCTGGCAAAGCATTATGCCAACAGAGTACTTTCTCCTAGCATGCAGGGACAAGCCTCAGGGCCCTGGACAGCTTGTCCATTTCTACTCAGTAGTACACAAGGAACCGGTGGGCTGGAGATGCAGCTCAGTGGCAGTCTAGGTACCTAACATGATGGGATTTTTGGTTTGATCCATAGCAGTGGAGATAAAAAGTCTATGTTGTTGACTTTGCAGCCTTAGGAGAAAAACTCACCAAATTTGTTTCCCTCCTGAATGATCTCCCCGTGAAATAGCCCCCTCTGAAGGGCTTTGGTGATTCTGCTCATAGTATGTTTAGGAAAACATCGATAAATGAGTCAAGCATAGAAAGATAAACACAATGTGCCCCTCAGTGTCCCTACAAATCTAAAGGGTAGGGAAGTTGATAACAGAAATACGAAAGTAGAAAAACAGACAATGTGATTATCACAGGTGGGCTCCTTATCCCACTGAGGGCTCACCCCTCTAATGCTCATACTATCTCTCTCTAACCTTTCCCCTCTCTATCTCTTTCTCTCTTGTTCTAGCACTCTCTCCTCTTCTACTATGTGATGCCCTCTTCCATGTTATGATACTGACAGAAGATCCTTACCAGATTCTGACACCTTGATATTGGACTTTCTACCTTCCAGAACTGTGAGCTAATAAACTTCTGATCATTATAAATCAATCTACTGGTGATTTTGTAGCAGCACAAAATGAACTGAGACATGACGATTCCTCCAACAGCAATATTGACAAGGATGTGAAGCAACCAGAATGCTGGTACATGACTGGTAACGGTGTAAAATGGTATAACCCTGTGGAGTTTGGTCTAGCAGTTTTCTTGTAAAGTTACACACATATCTTGGGACCCAGCCATTATAGTAATAGAAACTGACCTACGAGAAAGGAAAATTTACGTTTTTACTAAGACTTGCACAAGAATGTTTCGGCAGCTTGTTTTTATAACAACACCGGGGACAGTCCATATCCATCACCAGGAAGTTAAATTATTGTACTTCCATACAATGTTATACTGCTCAGGTATAAAAGGAATGCGGCAACAAGAACTCACCTTAAAACCAGGAAGAATGAAGACCCAGACGCAATGAATCTGGGCAGCCCTTAGATTCCATGAGTTTTGCATTCATGGATTCAACCAACTTCAGCAAAAATATGTTTTAAAAATTGTATCTGGAGCAGGTATAGTGGTGTATACCTGTAAGCTCAGGCCAGCCTGGGCTACATAGTGAGCCCTGCCTCAAAAATAAAAACAAGGGGCTAGAGAGATGGCTCAGCAGTTAGGATCACTGGGTGTCTTCCAAAGGACCTGGGTTCTGTTCTCAGCACCCGCATGATGGCTAACAACCATCTATAACTTCAATTCCAGGAGACCAGACGCCCTCTTCTGGCCTCCATAGGCATTGCACACACAGATGCACTTGTATACATACAGGCAAAACATTCATACACATAAAAATTAAAAAAAACAAAACAAAACAAGCTGGGCATGGTGGCACACCCCTTTAATCCCAGCACTCGGGAGGCAGAGGCAGGTGGCTCTCTGTGAGTTCAAGGCCAGCCTGGTCTACATAGTGAGTTCCAGGACAGCTAGGGCTACAGGGAGACCCTGTCTCAAAAAGACAAAAAGAAAAAATTGTGTACAGTGCTGAACTGTATAGAATTTTTCTTGTCATTGCATAAATGACACAGTATAACAACTATATAGCATTACAATGTTATCTAAAGATCATTGAAAGTTCCCTGGAGGATATGTGACGGTTCTGTGCCAATGATTGCCATTTTATCTAAGGGACTTGAATATCCAAGGTTTTAGCATAGGGGCCCTGAAACAAATTCTTCATGGATACCGATGGATACCAAGGGATCACTGAGTATGCTACATCATTCCATTCATAGGAAACTCTAGAGTAAGCAAAAGTATTCTAGAGTAACAGGAAATGGTAGCTGCTTAGGGGCACAGTAGAGATGGACTTGGGTGGGCACGGCAGTGATTCCCACTTGTTTTTCAAAGGTTCATTGTGTGTTTCCTTGTCCAATTCTGCTCTCAGTGACGTCACACTGATAGCTGGAGATTGACCATGTAGAGCACGATTGTCGAAGAGATCAACAAGCACTATAGATCAGAATGTTTCCCCACAGACCCTGTGGAGAATGTTTGCGAGCACACTACAAGGCTTGAAGGGTATATTTAGGGGAGGAAACATTCTCTGTCTTGATAAGAGTGTGGGTTATACTGGCATCTAAGTTTGTCAAAACTAATAAAATTGGGGCTGGGATTGTAGTTCAGTGATAGAGCGTTTGCCTGACACCCACAGGCCCTTTGTTCCCTCCCGGCACTGCAAAAAAATGATCAAATTATATGCTTAAGATTTGTGTGTTTTATTGCATTTATATACTTAAATTAAAAAATGTACACATTTTACAAAGGGCAAATGAGGTAGGTGTGGTGGCACACACCAGTAACCCCATAATTTAGGAAGCATAAGCCGGAAGATCTCAAGTTCTCGATCAGCCTGGGCTGCACAATAAGACTTGTACCCCATCCCCAAAAAGAGCAGATGTCTGTGAGCCATCTCAGACCCATCAGTGGGACCTTGCATTAATTACTTTTCTGTTGCTGTACTAGAACACC